TTAGTGATAGTCTACCTGGCAGGCAGCAATACAGTAGAGAGAGTGCCTGCGCCTCCAAAATCTGCTGCTGTGTTTGTAACATTCTCCTATCAATGTCCTTTGGATCTCAGTTTACTCGGTCCTGTTTGAATAGGAACTATTACCTACCTCTCCTCTGAGTCTCCATAAATTCCCATTTGTTTCAATGTTTTTCTGCAACATTTTGGCATTCGGGACATGGAAACACGTCAGATATTAGTGGCATGATCTGGAAGTTGATCAGCAACTTGGAGTTGACAGCTTTTATGTTTTATTACTTATTCCCAAGCCCTTTAAAAAATTTCCCTTTAAAATTCTAAACTTCTAAGCTGGCAAGGATTTTTGTTTTAATTAAGTACCTTTTCAATGTTTAAGTTTGCTTAACGGATAACTGCCTGACGGCTTTTCCCCCTATCTACTTGTTTGCTCAGCAATGAGGCACTTTATGATTAAAGCCATTTTCCAATTATTCTTTTCTGCAATATTTTTATGTCAAAAAAATACTAAAGAAATGGTTTTGCATGACTGAATAATTGAAGGAAACACTTTAGGTGCTCATCTCTTCTTCAATGGTAACAGGAGTTTTTTTTTTTTAATTTAGCCGTAGAACTTTTTGGCTCTTTATCCAGTGTCTCTTGATGTTCAAACCTACTGTGACGCTCCTGAGTAGTTCTGAGTCAGTTCTTTTCTCAGCAAAATCACTTTACTTCAGTTCCCACCCGATAAGAATCTGTGCACAGAACACAGAAAGAGATCTAGAATAAGCAGTCATGAATTTGTCTCTCAGAAGTATTTTGAGCACCACCCCCTAACTGAAATGTCCCAGATAATGAAAGGCTATGTCAAAAATTCCTTCTCCTCCTTATGTAACTAAAGTGCATTCAAATCATAGATTACCTAAGAAACTTTCTTCAGCATTCAAGAAGCAGACTAGAGAGGTTTGGGGCACTAGGGCCTCTATAGTATTACAGCGGACAAATATTATGTAATTGCAATGGCAACACTTAAAATAGTAAGGGAAAGAACCATCTAGCAATTTACTGCTGATAAAAAAGTTTATTTTTAATTTCAGATTCTATGCATGGAATTTCCAAAAAGATAAGGAAAAGCCTCTATAAATACCTAAACAACAGCTAGTTAGTTAGAACTTCGGTGATCAAATTTAAACTAATAAATACTCGGACAATCAAAGACACCTTGGAAAATAAAGCCTATGTCCCAATTTAAACAGCTTTACCCTGCAGCGTATGTTGCATAAATGTTCCATAGTAACTTCTGCACCCTTCTGCTTTTCAAAGTACTTTAGCTAAGTACACACAATTTCAGAACAGAATGCAACTTTAAGCCAAGATTTGTCAATGTCACTTCTTGGGCTAAAATGTACCACTAAGAAATCTCTAAAGTTGATTTTAGGTAGAATAAACAAAGTTAGATCTGCAGATCTTAGTGCATGCTGAAGTTGTCTATAGGATTGGAGCAGCCTGGAATATTTTAGCCAAATAGGGGCTGTTTGACAAATTTGGAGCACATCAAAAACTAGTATTGTGCAGAAGCAAGTATTCAACTGTCGCTATACTGCTCTACCATGCGGGCATTAATCCCCCTACAAGCGGCCTACGTCTATAGTCACTGAAATCAATGGGGACTTTGTCATTGGTTTTCAGTGGGCACAGGATGTTACCAGAGCAGCATCTGCAGTAGCTTAGAAAGAAACACTATGAAAACTCTTCATTTATAAGTAGGGTATGTTTCATGTTTAAAAGACTGGCCTTGAATGTGCGTTGGAAGCTTTTTTTTTCTTTCTTTCTTTTTTTTTTTAAATATCTTTCTTCTACCAAGCAGCATATTTATTAGCTTTAGTCCTAGAGATGATCTTACGAGCTTATCTCCTAGGGGACCAAAACTTCTTTCTAATTTTCCTCCTTATTAAAATAATCAGGGCTTGAAATTAACTTTTCTTTTAATTGCTCACAATCTTCGCTACTTGCATGGAAAGTAAGTAGCACGTTTCCAAGTTTTTTATTAATGCTTTGGTTACTTCTTTGTCCAGCCACCTTTAGCAAATAGTTCACACTCCAAAAACAGAAAAGCAAAAAACTCCAGGTAAAGGGAAATTAATTAGTGGTTGATCTCGGCTCATGAGAAACAAACAAAAAACAAAAACAAAAAACAAAAACAAAACCAAACTAAGAAAGCCCAACCATATGATATTTTTCCTTGGGAGGATTAAGGAAATCACAGACACTCGGTTTCATATTTCAGCTCCAGAAAGGAATTCCTATGGACCTACTGTAATTCACTTAATTTCTCTGAAGCTAGATATCTCAAGTTTCCTATTTCAAAATGAGGCAAATAATACTTTTGTAGTTTATAATGGCATTTCAGAAATAAATAATTTAGGACCAGACTATGCTACCTTTTTTTCGCATTGTGTGGTACCTTACCATGCAAGCGTTCCCAAAAGACCGGTGAACCTATGCAAGAGCTCCAAAAATAATCTCCCTTAGAGACTACTTGCATAGTCATGTGTTATTAGATATAAAATTCAAAAAAAAAAGAGAGAGAGAATCTGGCTGTTAAAACTTCATGAGTTGCTCAAATACTATGGTGACAGCAGCCATAAAAGCTACAAATAAATTAGGTCTAAAACTTTTCCACTTTGTTGCATTCCTAACTTCCAAAACATCCTTTGATTTCATGCTCATTCACAGCATTTTTTTAATCTAAGACGTCTGAATTTCTCCTCAGACAAGAGAGAGAGAAACAGTTTGCTTCTCGGGTGGTGTGGACTTAGTAAAAGAGTATTTCATCCCTGCTTGGAAAGCTACACAACTTCTTCCTGGAAGTAATACAAGGCATTTTTTGCAGCAGCCAGTGAAGCTGTGGTGTTCATGGAGACTACTAATAGCTGTAACAATGTCACAGGACACGCAGGGTGTACATTGGTAGTAGGAGGTGCTGCCTGATGTCTTCCCAGGAAAACCCACAACCATCCCCGTAAGGATGGGTACCAAGTTACTATTACAGGAGTGATTAGGCAAATTAGGTGAATATGAGGGGCTGCATGGTTTGAAGCTGCTGGATATCCACAGTGCGAAGCGACTTGGCCTGAAAAGCGTAGTAGGCTCAAACCGAGTTGAGGGTTTATGGGTTGAATAAACATGCTGGCACCTGCCACCTGAACGATTTTGACACTTCGGTGACTACTAAACAGGTAGCGCTTCCACGCTCTGGGATGGTCTAGTATCCAAAACCCAGAAAAGTAACCCATGACTCGCTAACGTAATTAAATCATCTTTGGTTCCTCGTGATGCTGGCTAAAGGAAACGTCACGAGGCGAGGAAGGAGAGTAAAGCTGGCAAGGAGTTAGGTTCCAGGATGGCTATGAAACCAAACGCGCGCTTAGGCTAGGACTTTTCGTTGGCGTTCAGTAATGAAAACCAATTGCAAAACTGCAGCGCGAGACCCGTAAGTCACAGCTGGGCAAGTTTACAGAGGTGCAGAGCATCCACGCGGGGCTTTGCATCAAGGCAACTGTGGCAGCACAGCCTTCCCCGCCTGCCGCGCGCCGGGCGCAGACGCGGCACGAGACGGAAACGTGTCAGGCTGTCTCCCAGCGCGGCCTTGTATCCCTTCTCCAGAAAAATAACTATCCAGCCCAAGCCCTGGAGAAGGTGTCGTGGCAAGCGTTCGCCGGCGTAAAATGTTTCGGGTTTTGCGTTCACAAGGCTGTTTTCCCCCTCAAGCAGGGGAGGGAGACACCTCTGTGAAACCGCCGGGGATTCCCGAAGAAAGAGGAGCGAAGGGCAGAGGGGTAGTCGCTCTCCTCCCATTTTCCGGCGTGCCTGTGATGCCTTCAGGGTCAGGGTGCCTGGAGGCGGGATGTTCCCCCACAGGGGACACGCTGGCACCTCTCGCTGTCGCTCACTCCAACAACCCCGTTCCCCCC